TTAGTAGAGACGGGGTTTCACCATGTTGACCAGGATGGTCTCGATCTCTTGACCTCGTGATCCACCCGCCTCGGCCTCCCACAGTGCTGGGATTACAGGCTTGAGACACCGCGCCCGGCCTTACTGTACCTTTTCTAAGTTTAGGTATGTTTAGATACACAAATACACACCAGGGTGTTGCCTACAGTATCCAATACAGTAACACCTTGTACAGGTTTGCAGCCTAGGAGCAGTAACAGGCCATACCACAAGGCCTAGGTGTGCAGTAGGCTACACCACCTAGGTTTATGTAAGTATACTCTATGGTGTTTGCACAATGAGGAAATTGCCTAGTGATGCAATTCTCAGAACATATCCACCATCGTAAGCAATGTGTGACCATAAAAGGAAATCTACTCTTCCTTTTTTTAGAGACAGGGTCTTGCTCTGTCACCCAGGCTAGAGTGCAGTGGCATGAACACAGCTCACTGCAGCCTCAACTTCCTGGGCTCAAGTATTCCTTCCACTTCAGCCTCCCAAGTAGCTGGGACAGGTGTTCACCATCATGCCTACTAATTTTAAAAAAATTTTATTTTGTGTAGAGAGGAGGCCATGCTTCGTTGCTCAGCTCTGGTCTCAAACTCCTAGGCTCAAGTGATCCTCCTGTCTCAGCCTCCCAAAGTGCTAAGATTACAGGTGTGGGCTATCATGCCTGGCTACCATTTTTAAAAGGGAAAAAAAGCTAAGGAAGGTTACAAAAGATCTTGCCAAAAGTCATATGGCCAAGCTGGTGTCTAACCAGGATCAAAATGCAGGTCTTCCAACCAGACCTGACACCTCAGTGGCTGGTCCCAGCGTGCCCAAAGACCCAGCCGCTGCCTCCCTTCCCACCATCTGATTCTGCTTTGCATTTCTCACCCAGGCTTGCTGCTCTGACAGCCAGCACAGCTCCAGTCCCATGTCTGCACTGCATGTGTTCTTTGGAACAAGACTGGCTCTGCAGTGCTTGCACCATCCTCCCACTATGAACATTACCCCAGAGGCTGGAATTTTACCCAGCTGAGGCATTAACTGTTTTAGTGTGACTGGTGTTATTTCCTACTTAAGTCAGAACAAAACTCTTGGCAATTAATGCATTTGCTAGACAAATATGAAAACTCAGAACCTGTTAGGACTGATTTAGGCCTTGGTTTTCAATTCTCATTGAGTCCCTTTGTATAATCTATATCTCAAGTTTCAGGATTAAAAACTCCAGACGAGGCCAGGTGCAGTGGCTCATGCCTGTAGTGCCAGCACTTTGGGAGGCTGAGGTGGGCTTAAGCTCAGGAGTTAGAGACTAGCCTGGCCAACATGGTGAAACCCCGTCTCTATTAAAAATACAAAAATTTGCCAGGCAACACCTCAAGCTCAAGTTATCTGCCCACCAGAAGGTTGAGGTGGGAAGATCACTTGAGCCCAGGAGGTGGAGGCTGCAGTGAGCTGTGAACACACCTGGGCGACAGAGTGAGACCCTGTCTCAAAAAACAAACAAAAAAAAACTCCAGCAGAGTCTTCATAGATCTTAATGTTACATTCAATAATTAACATTTTTGCTAAAACCATATGCAGAGCTGGGATGGTTCAATCTCTTATGGTGCAAAGTTTCTCTCTCTAGCATTTCCCATCTCACAATGACCATACTTTCAAAGAGCCCGCATCAGGAGACCTCCTTAAAACAGAAGAGCTTCTTGAATTAGGACACATGACCATGGGCTTTTCTTCTGGTAGCGTTCTACCCTTAGAACTCCCAGGCTCTCATCGGGCACGGTGGCTCACACCTGTAATACCAGCACTTTGGGAGGCCAAGGTGGGTGGATCACCAGAGGTCAGGAGTTCGAGACCAGCCTGACCAATATGGTGAAACCCCATCTCTACTAAAAATACAAAAATTAGGGCCGGGCGCGGTGGCTCAAGCCTGTAATCCCAGCACTTTGGGAGGCCGAGGCGGGTGGATCACGAGGTCAAGAGATCGAGACCATCCTGGTCAACATGGTGAAACCCCGTCTCTACTAAAAATACAAAAAATTAGCTGGGCATGGTGGCGCGTGCCTGTGGTCCCAGCTACTGAGGAGGCTGAGGCAGGAGAATTGCCTGAACCCAGGAGGCGGAGGTTGCGGTGAGCCGAGATCGCGCCATTGCACTCCAGCCTGGGTAACAAGAGCGAAACTCCGTCTCAAAAAAAAAAAAAAAAAAAAAAAAAAATACAAAAATTAGTTGGGCATGGTGGCAGGTGCCTGTAGTCCAGCTACTCAGGAGGCTGAGACAGAATTGCTGGAACCAGGGAGGCAGAGGTTGCAGTGGCTGTGAGCCGAGATCGTGCCACTGCACTCCAGGCTGGGTGACAGATTGGGTTCTCATGCCCCTTGACGGTGCTGAAGGACACTTTTTAAAAAGCCTGCCCTTCCTTTACGAAGCGTAGGCTATAAACTGGCATTTTAGCTAACTGCTAGATGGGTTTCCAACTGCCTTACCCACTTTTGAAGGCTTAAAAAAAAATCTTCAAATTTATACAATTTTCATCTCTTTAGGGTTTTCATAGGCAAAGGGAATGTCTATAGTAACTGTTTACATACAACTCATTTACCTTCTTCACAAGAATTGCCATTTAGGTCTCATTGTTTTCTCCATTATACTGATGATGAAACTGCGGTATAGAAAAGTTAACTGCCAACCCAAGGTCACACAACTAGTGAGGCGGCAGGGCTCCAAAGTCTAGCTCCCACTTACCATGAGACATAGCCTCTGTATGAGGAAGAGCAGAGGAAAACCAGGATGAATTGGAATATTCCCACATGACAGGCACAGAGCTCAGCACTTCACAATACCTGAACCTAACAAGTACTCCAGCAGAAAAGTACTAGAATTCTTTTTTCTTTTTAGAGACAACCTGAGGCACAGAGAATACAGGCTCTTGCCACGGATGTGGCTAGAGCCACAACTATGTTTGAAATGAGCTCAGATGGCAATAAATGGTCTATCTGTTGTTAGGCTATGGAATTTACTTTGATTCTAAGAGCCATGCCTCCATGACCGAAGGGATTCCACTAAGCTGGGCCAAAAGAAAGAGTGGCCCAGGCTTTATATGCTGTCAGACTGTCTCTTCATCTGATCCCAGTTAGACTAGTTAGTCCTTGGCTTTGTTAGGATAATGGAATTTTAGTGTATGTGATACAGTGTATACATACCAAGTGTTCCAGAAATGATGTCCATTTTTGGCATGACTCCATCCCGATCCCCAATCCCTCCGCCTCGAGCCCCATACAGCCCCACCGCGTGGACTTCATCCACGAACGTGATTGCTCCAAACTCATGGGCCACGTCGCAGAGCTCTTCCAGTGGGCACACTGCCCCTGAGGAAAGACCAGATACTGCTCTGAAGAGCTTGCCACTTCAGAAATTTCTGTTTTGTTTAGAGTCAGAACAATGTAAACTTATATTCTAAGGTATCATTTTTAATATTCAAAGAAAATGAACTTCCTACAATTTCTAGGTTACTTGGGGTCCCAGAGCCTAGTAAAAGCCAGAAAAGAAAATCCACTTTCATCCAAATCTATTAAATAAAGTCTACCAATTACAAAATCCTGGCAGAATGCAATACTACACAGCAATAAAAAAAGAACGTGACCATGTCCTTTACAGCAATATAGACGGAGCTGGAGGCCATCCTAAGTGAATTAATGCAGGAATGGAAAAACCAAATATCACTTTCTCTTCTAAGTGGAAGCTAAACATGAAGTACACATGGACACAAAGAAGGGAACAGACACTGGGGGCCTAGTTGACGGTGGAGGGTGGGAGGAGGATGAGGATCAAAAACTACCTATTGGGTACTATGCTTATTACCTAGGTGATGAAATAATCTGTACACCAAACCCCTGTGACACAGAATTTACTCATATAATAAAATACACACATGTACCCACTGAATGTAAAAGCTAGAAGAAAAAAAAATCCTGGCAGAAAGGAAAAGAAAATTAAAAAGTACAACAAAACCCCATACTTTTAAAAGAGTTCAGGCCTCGTTTTTCATCTTAGGTTTCAGATAGATCTCTATCCACACTTACCATCCATTGAGTGGACAGTTTCAAATGCCACAATCTTGGGGACTGAGGGGTCAGATCTTTGCAGCAGTTCTCTGAGATGGTTGACATCATTGTGGCGGAAGATGTACTTTGGCACTCGGCTGTTTCGAATCCCTTGGATCATGGAGGCATGGTTCCCAGAATCAGAGTAAATCTCACAGCCTAACACAACAAAAATGCTATTTATTGCCATCTGCATCAAAGGCAAATTATTTCCTAGAGAGAGACAACAGACTTTTCCTTGGAAATGATGTTCTGAAAATGCCTAGTAGGAAAAAGACACTGGTGCCAGTTTCTTCCTGGCAAAATAAGTAGCTAGTGCTTCCCCTGTGAGAAGACCCAAAGGTGTAGAATAACCCTGTGGCAGGCAATTAATCTTATCTTAAATCTGGCTGCCTCACTCCAAACTCAATCAAGAGATAACTAAAAATGATTAAGAGACTTCTCCAAAGGATCATCTCAGGATACAAAACACATTTGAGGCAATTAGCTCAAGGACAAGATGTCTCAAGTTTGAACCTTCCCTGGTATCATGTTTTTACTGGAACTCGTACAGTTAGCACTCAATCCCAGAGCAAATGCCCAGATAGGACTGTTATTTTCAATTGAGACGTTCTGGTAAGCCTTCTTTGTTGCTAATATTCTTGCTATTACTGAGAAACCCAAAAAGCTCTAAGGCACTCATGCCAGGCTTCCTTACCTGGCATCATCTTAGCCAGAGTGAAGAGGGTCGAGTCATTGGCCACAAAGCACGAGGAAAACAAGAGGGCTGCATCTTTCCCATGGAGGTCTGCCAGCTCCCGCTCTAAGTCCACATGGAATTTACTAGTTCCAGAAATATTTCTAGTACCACCTGCCCCAGCACCATGTTGTTTCAAAGTGTCCCTATTTAAGAAGAAAAAAGACAAAAAATAAAGCTCATGGTACTAAACACTATGTGAATTTTTTCCTTTCTAGGATCCAGGCAATTGAAACATGTTGATGTAGCAACTCTCTCACTGTGAAACCTGGAGTCAGAAGTTTCAACTGATTTATCTTCAGACTACGTGGGAGACGGTGTCAGAGGTGTCAACGCTAGGGTGATGATACCCCCAGGAATCATCAAGAACAGTGTTCATTTAACAGTCAGTAAGTGCTTGGTATTAGCTGAGTTTCTTTTCTCTGAGAAACATTATTCTTTCCAATAACATGTTATTTTAAGAAAAAGAAAACTATAGAGAGACATCCTGGTTGGTGGTTACCCTTTGCAAGCCAATCATGTAATGTTAGGATATATCACTATCATTAAACTTCAACTGGGACTCTCTTTAGCAAGCCTTTGGAGAATCTGACAAGCAACTCTCTCAAGCATCCCTAGGATGGTGAATCTCCTGAAGGACATGAGTGATGGGATCTATCATCCTTTTTAACATGTCTTTTGAAGTAGTTTGTCTCTAGCACTGCTAGATTCATATTTCTCCACTCACAGCCACAATCAAGGATGTCTCTGTGCAAGAACAGCTGGTGTTAAAGGCACACTCACTTGCAGGGTAGTAGGAAGTGAACTGACACATGTCGATATTGGGCTTATAAGCTTGAACCCTCACAAGCTAAGGGGCTCCAGCAGCTACCTGCACATGAGCATTCCTTTAAAAGTAATCTGTAGATATTTTTCAGAAGCGAAGAATAGTATTTTGCTATGGCACACTTTTAGCTACTAATTGTTATCTCCATAAGAAAGCCAAATAACACCAGTAATATTTGAAAGCCAAGGGCTACTTACATAACTGCCCCACACACCCGTGGGTGGCGGCTCATTCCTAGGTAGTCATTACTGCACCAGACTGACACCTGCTTTTTGGTGATGAGGGAGTCTGAATAGTCATCTGCCATGGGGAAGATGTGTGCTCGCCGGTTCACAGTTTTAAAAACTCGATAGGTGTGGTCATTCTTTTTCTCATCAATTTTTTTCTCAAAGAAACGATCATACTGAAAAGTGGAAACAGCTAAAAATTGAACAAAAGACAGTACAGAACGGTGGTTGTGAAACACAGCTGTGTTTTAGTGAAAGACAACAAGTCTCAGCTTGGCCACTGAATAGCAGGGAGATCCTGGGCAGGTTATTTGATGTCCTCATCTTGTAAGTAAATGAGACTGTATGTCAAGTGTTTGGCCCAGTGCCATGGGTAGACAGTAGGTATTAAAGGACAGAAGGCAGGCTACCAAGAGCACTTGCTCACTCAAGCAAGGTATATGGGTTTTAAGCCTCAACTCACCAGACATTTTTTGTTTTTCCTAGAGACAGAGTCTCTCTCTGTCATTCAGGCTGGAGTGCAATAGTATGATCATAGCTCACTGAACCTTGAACTCCTGGGCTTAAGCAATCTTCCTACCACAGCCTCCTGGGTAGCTGGGACTATAGGTGTGGGCCACCATGACTGGCTAATTAAAAAAATTGTTTTTGTAGAGACAGTGTCTTGCTATGTTGCCAAGGCTGGTCTCAAACTCCTGGCCTCAAGTGATCCTCCCATGTCAGCCTCCCAAAGTGCTGGGATTACAGGTATAAGCCACTGTGCCCAGCCTCACCATGATATTTTATATTTAATCTGATATATGTTTAAATTATAAATTCTCTCCTACATCAGGCAAATAACAATAAGACTTACATTTTGGCAAGTTATCTTGAAGAAGATGAGACACTCTTTCTGGTCTTTGCTTTTGCATGATGTCCTGGAAGTTCTTCAGCAGTCCACTGGGGTCCCCTCCACCGGTTTTCACGCTAACCACACTGGGGCTCACTGAGGTTTGAGCAACCTCTGGAACAAAAGTAACAAGAAGCAAATGGGACCAACTTTCTGTTCTGAATTCACAATATTTTCCAGACATATTGTCAAAAATGGCTTACTGCCTATTTCACAAAGAAGGCCAAACATAACTAAAGTTAGTTGGAACTGAGTGTACAAAGCATCTCCTCTATTTTAGTTACTGCAATGGCAGACTCTTGGTGTTGTTTTCAGAGCTACAGGCCAGCTTTAATGAACAATGAAGTCCAAAGCTTTCTTGCTAGGTGGCATGTCTCATTTACTCCACTACATCCCCACCCCAATCCTAATCTCCATTTTCTGCTTTATTTTTGAGACAGAGTCTTGTTGTGGAGTGATCTTGACTCATTCCAACTTCTGCCTCCTGGGTTCAAACAATTTTCCTTCCTCAGCCTACTGAGTAGCTAGGACTACAGGCATGCACCACCATGCCCGGCTAATTTTTGTATGTTTGATCGGGATAGGGTTTCACCATGTTGGCCAGGGTTTCACCATGTTGGCCAGGCTGGTCTTAAACTCCTGGCCTCAAGTGATCCACCTGTCTCAGCCTCCCAAAGTGCTGGGATTGCAGGTGTGAGCCACTGTGCCTGGCCCTAATCTCAATTTTCTTCATAGAAAACAATTTTGGCCATATGCATAATTTCTGCTGGTAAGGTTTCGGGGGAGTCTTGGGTGCTCTGCAGATATAGTCACAGCTGGAGTTAAGGTTGTAATTCAATGTCCATCAGTAAGACACATAGCTTGGGAGCCCTGGGGCCAGCACTTACTACAGTAAAACCATTGTTTTCTATCTTTATCCCACCAGATGATGGGAAAGACCAAAGGGACAAAAGGCAGCTGATAGCAGCTCAAGACTGCAAATTATTTTCAGAAATTAAGCAGTTACTACAAAAGCTGGTCACATTCTACACACACAACAGAAAGAAAGTCTCACATTTCACAATACAGTCCCTTGACTGTCTATCTTGAGGTCCTTCCTCCCTGGCCCTAAAAGAGGAAGGTGTTCCCATAAATAATATGCTAATAAAAAATAAGCTAATAATAGCTCATATACAAATCTGAGGGCCCAAAAGAACTAAAAGGACCTCTTCACTACCCTAATGGTTCATAACTCATCTCTTACCTTTCCTCACAGCATTCATTTCCTGTACATCCTCCTGAAGCTCAAGACTGGCTTTGCAGAAGACACTGCTGCCTCTTTGGCTCATCTGTGCTGCCAGGAAAGGGCATTTGCTTGCAGTGCCCTGGCTCGTGGCAGGCAAGGGGTGTCCAGACGGAAGCTGCGTGCCATCTGGACTCTGCTGGGGTCCATCAGGAGCCTGCTGGACCTTGGCTTTGGCAGTTTTGTCTTCTGAGAGAGGAAATGGAAAAAATGAAGCATCATGTCTGGTTGCACAGTGTATAAGAAAACCATTTATTTCTCTTATTGCCTTGAAGATAAACTTAATACTCACTCTACCCCAACAAAGATAAACTTAATACTCTACCCCAGCATCCAGACACAAGCTTTTTTTTTTTTTGGGAGATAGAGTCTTGCTCTGTTCCCCAGGTTGGAGTGCAATGGCATAATCTCAGCTCACTACAACCTCCGCCTCCCAGGTTCAAGCAATTCTTGCACCTCAGCCTCCCAAGTAGCTGGGATTACAGGTGCCCGCCACCGCATCTGGCTAATGTTTGCATTTTAAGTAGAGACGGGGTTTCACCATGTTGACCAGGCTGGTCTCAAACTCCTGACCTCATGTGATCCATCTGCCTTGGCTTCCCAAAGTGCTGGGATTACAGGTGTGAGCCACTGTGCCCGGCCACAAGCTTATTTTTTATTAGGTTCTGCTAATCTGGCTAGTTTTTCATCTGCCTCACAGGAAACAATGCTCCTGTGAAGAGTTAATCGGCACATTCCAGTTACCTCTTAAACCCACAGTATTTCTACTCATAAATCCAAAAAAGTACCATTTTCTAGTTTTAGAAAATCTGGAATCCTTGAGTTGGATCATTTCCAGTAATTTTTACCCCAACTACACTCAGCTTACTTCATTAGAGGACACACTTTCTAAGGTAACTAGAAGTATTCACACACATTTTTTTCTCTGCTATTATTTTCTTTTCCTTTTTTTTGGAAACAGGATCTCACTCGGTCACCCAGGCTAGAGTGCAGTGGTGCAATCATAGCTAACTGTAGCTTTGATCTCCAGGCTCAAGTGATCCTCCCATTCACCCTTCCAAGTAGCTTGGACTGCAGGTTCTACTGGTTTTTGTAGAGACGCGGCCTTGTTATGTGCCCTTGGCTGCTATCAAACTCCTAGACTCAAGCAATCCTCCTGCCTCTGCCTCCCAAAATGCTGGAATTACAGGCAAGAGCCATCACATCTGGCCTCTGCTAGTATTTTTTAAACACATTCTTGACAAAGAGGGTGCGTGCTGCTTAACATAAAAGCTATTGGTTTTCTTCTAAACAAAAGAAATTAGACTAAAACTTAGGTCTTTAGATTGCTAATACAGTAAAAAAAATAGGGGCATATCACATTCACATACCTCATCTACTTTCTCATCTAAATTCATCAAACTGCTGACTTAATACAGTTGGTTGTTAATTATGCTTTTGTTAGAGTGACTTCCCTCTCCCCTTGAGCAAATTCATTCATCTTCTTTCTAGAAAAGTCTTTCTTCATCATTCTGGAATACTCTTGTGAGTCACTGGCTAGCCTTTCCTATAACTTGGGTAAGATGTCTCAATACAGTTTCCATTAAAATCTTCTATAAAGGAAAGCCAAAAAAATTATTTTGAAGTTAATTTCACTTATTATAAAAGTAATACATATCCATTAAACAAAGTGTAGGAAAAAAATCCTATTATTTAAAACATACTATTGCAAACATTTTGGTAAAAAATACACAACTAACTCTTGAAAATAAACCCTACAAAGGATCAAATCCTTTCTACTTAAAGAAAAAAAAATTCTTCTTACAATCCCACACCCAGAGAATACACCTAAGAAAAGCCTGTAAAATATTCTCTAGGATTCAGTGGAACCTGAAAAGCCTTGTTCTCTCCTAGCAGAACCAGAGCAAACTAAATTTAACTCCAGTCTCTTTGTTAAAACCAACAACAGTGGCCGGATGTGGTGGCTCACGCCTGTAATCCCAGCACTTTGGGAGGCCGAGGCGGGTGGATCACTCGAGGTCAGGAGTTTGAGACCAGCCTGGCCAACACAGTGAAACCCTGTCTCTAAAAATAAATAAAGTAAATAAATAAAAAATAAATCAAAGGCTGTAAAAAACAACAACAACAAATGTATATACAAATAAAGATATGGGGCACGATCTCAGCTCACTGCAACCACTGCTTCCTGGGTTCAAGCAAGCCTCACCCTCCCAAGTAGATGGGATTACAGGCATACACAACCATGCCCAGCTAATTTTTAAATTTTTTGTAGAGATGGGGTTTTGCCATGTGGCCAGGCTGGTCTTGAACTCCTGGCCTCAGTGATCCAAATGCCTCTGCCTGCCAAAGTGCTGGGGTGACAGGAGTGAGTCACTGCATCTGGCCAAAATAAATTTGTCCCACTAATAAATACTGTACAATTTCACTTATATAAAGTACCTAGAGTAGTCAAATTCATAGACACAGAAAGCAGAATGGTGGTTGTCAGAGGCTGGGGAGAGAGGAATGGAGAGTTACTGTTTGGTGGGTATAGTTTTAGTTTGGGAAGATGAAAAAAGTTCTGGAAATGGATGGTGGTGATGACTGCACAACAATGTGAATACCACTGAACTGTACATTTAAAAATGCTTAAAATGGTATTTTTTCTTGTGTATTTTACCACAATAAAACAAAACTTTTAAGGAAAAAAAAAAAATCACTATTTTAAAAAGCCAAAGGGGCTGGGCACGGTGGCTCACACCTGTAATCCCAACACTTTGGGAAGCCAAGGCAGGTGGATCATTTGAGATCAGGAGTTCAAGACCAGCCTGGCCAACATAATGAAACCCTACCAAAAGTACAAAAATTATCCAGGTGTGGTGGTGCATGCCTGCAGTCCCAGGTACTTGGGAGGCTGAGGCAGGAGAATCATTTGAACCCCAGGGAGGTGGAATTTGCAATGAGCCAAGATTGCATCACTGCACTCCAACCTGGGCGACAGAGCAAGACTCTGTCTCAAAAGAGAAAAACTAAATAAATAAAAAGCCAAAGGCCAAATGTTTAATGAAAGAAAGGTCAGAATAGAACATTCCAATTTAATATTTATGTGAACGAGGCACTGAGGAAATACTAAAACCCCAACTGAAACTAATATGCAATCCAAAAACCTATATGTGCAACACTGGCCGCTGTTTCACTTTTAAAGATGGAGAAACTAAAAGTGCCTACTCTTGGGTGACAATCATATGAAATAATCCGTGCACAGAGCAGCCCTCTGTGAGTGAGTGTGGCCCTCACCACCACTGTGGACTGCTTTTAGTCTACCAATGAGCACAAACACCCCTATCTGCTCCTTCATTGCCAATGACACTTACTCTCACTGGCCGGAGGGGTTTCTTTAATCTGTTGGTAGTGTACTGCTGCAGTGGACAGTGCCCGAGGGGCTGGCTTGGCCCCAACTTCCATCATTTTGGGGCAGTTTTGGGCATAGAACAACAGAGATTTGCCTGCTTTCTGCAGAAAGGCCTGGGGGACTCGGGATAAGAATGGGCATCGTCGAACAACAGTCTCCATGTTCAAGAAGTATGCTGGCTCCTGTGGAAAGACTGATGATGAGTGACATCAACACTTGTTAATAATCAGGCAAATATCACCACGAACTCACTGGATTCAGGTGTCACCGGCAGTTTATATAAAGGGTACCCTGGAATACTAACATTTCTCCCTCAAAAATTCCTAAGGACAGCACGGTTGTGAGACTCAGCTAAGGAATGGTGACCACACTCTAGCCAGGTCATCAACTTCTTCATTCCCCAGCTCTACACAAAGGCACCTGCAAAGCAACTTCACCAAACGAAGTAGGTACTGACAGTAAATAACCAAGAGCGTGGAAGGATGAGGGACAAGTCAAGAGCAGGTTTGGGAGCCCAGAGGTTTCTTAGGGAGATGCACAGTGCAGATAAGACATCTTGGCTTACACCAAGGTAGAGAAGGGATACTATGGAAGAAGCCACTCATTCATTCAGGAAGGGAAGACTCTTAAGAATCCTGACTTTCTCTTTGTTCCCACATACCCGAAACCACCCCTAAACCCCAGCAGGGCTCCAAGTCCCAGAGGCAAGGATTCCTCCGGGGTCGTGTCCCCACAGCGGGAATAACTGGGCGTAACTGAGAAAGGAGGGGCACAAACTAAGGTAGGGGTATAAGGGCCAGCGCCTTGGGACTCACTGGGAGCGTGCAGGGGCTAGAAAGTCGAGGGAGTTGAATTTGGAGAAAGAAGGCAGTCCTCGGGCACTGGAGGTCAGAGGTGACCCGAGGTCGAGGTCTCGACAATGAGGAATGGGATATGAGGAGAGGGATATGAGAAGAGAATTCTAAAGCGGCGGGTTCAACCGGGAATAGCCCGAGGGGGCCGAAAGGGGGAAATTGAGGCGGCCGTCTAGGCAAAAGATCTGGAGGATAAACGCTGACCCCCCCGCAGGCGGCGGGAGACTGGGACAGTGGGGGATGGGGTTCCAGTGCCCGGCAAGAGGTGCTCCAACTAGCAAGACACGCGAGGGCTTCCCCGGCCGGCGCCGCACCCACAACGCTGGCCCTCACCTGCGCGGGGGACTCTGCGGAGGCGGCGGAGGGCACGCAAGCCAGCAAGTCCAAACGAACCGTTCGTCGCCCTTGTCCAGGAGCAGCCTCAGGCCGCGACCGCCGGCGCCTTAATATACAGCGGGAGTGACTGCTGCGCATGCGCGGTGGCCGCAGCCTTCTTCCGCGCAGGCGCGCAGCGTCGCTCTCGGCGGGGTGGGTGGCGGGGACCCGGCTGAGAGGCCCACTTCTTGGGCTCTGCGGGTAATTACGGCTCGCTTGTCGGGAGGAGGAGCAACCAGGAGGTGGGCGGACGAGGTCTCTTTTCCCGACCTCGTCCTGCACACTCGTGCTGCCTCCCCACCAACTACCCTGGGCTTCAGAACCCTACGTCCCGACTGTGGGGTATAAAATGGCAAGGCCGAGGCGAAGCGCCGCTGGGGCCAAGTGGGGTGCTACAGGGTTGTCAAGATGGGTGTCTTGGACATGGAGGAAGAAGGAGATCTAAGGAATTCTGGGCCGGGGTCTTAAGCAGGATCTACTCCACCTGCGGCTTCCTTTGAAACCTGTGAATGAGGGCTTCCCAAAGGAGGTGGGGAAGATCGCCCACAGATGAAGTGGTCCTGGAGGGATGCAGAAGAAGCGGGACACTCAACTGTGTCACTTTCTGGTCTAAGATGATCCAGAGAGGGGCAGAGGAATCGGGCTGGATGGAACCCATCTATTCCACTGTTCTGAGCGCTTGGGGAGGAGGGAGAGGCACAGGGTCTGACAATAGTTATCGTGTAACAAATATTTGGCCACTATTTTTATTTTTCCATCCAGGGTTGTCCGAAGCCCCTTGCTGGCCACCCTGGGCAAGCAGGGTGGCTTAGGCCTCCATTCCAGAGGTCATCGTTGGGCCATACCTCCCTTGAGTTTCCCTGGCACAACACATGAATTGTAGGGCTTGGCAAACCCCTCTCAGGAATGCCAGTCTGCCTTCCTTGCTCCACACCCTTCCCAGCTTGGCTTAGGCTGGGTTGGGCTGGGCCTGTGCCTGGCTCAGAGGTACTCTCCTCCAGTCTTGAGGAAAGGGCCATTGAGGGTATTCCTTTCCCAGCTGGGGATTAACAAGAGGGACAAAGTCCAGAATGACGGTTACCAGGGTGTGTCCAGGTACTTTCCATTTCCCTCTGAGCATCCAGCTGGCTGCAAGGCAGGTGAGGCGAGTCTCCACCTTCGGAGGAGGCACCTGGGTTCAAGAGTGGCAGTAGGACCAGTCCAGGATGAGGGCTCTGGTCTGAGAGCTTGAGTTCTGTGCCATCCTGTCGAGGGATCCTGGGCAGTTCCTGTCACCCAGAGAGGATGAGAGAGAAAGGTCAGCACTTGTGCTCGGACCCAAGTGCAGCTGGAAGTGGAAGCTCAATCAGAATGATATTGAGTCCTTTGCTCATCTTTGGGCCTTGCTTTCCTCATCTGGTCAATAGGATCATAACCCCTGACGTGCCTGCCTCACAGGGTTTTTCGTTGTTGTTTTTTGTTTGTTTTTATTTGTTTGTTTGTTTTGAGACAGAGTCTTCCTTTGTTGCCCAGGCTGGAGTGCAGTGGTGCAATCTTGGCTCACTGGAACCTCTGTCTCCCAGGTTCAAGCAATTCTCCTGCCTCAGCCTCCCAAGTAACTGGATTATAGGCGTACACCACCATGCCCAGCTAATTTTTGTATATTTAGTAGAGATGGGGTTTCACCATGTTGGCCAGGCTGGTCTTAAACTCCTGACCTCAAGTGATCCACCCTCAGCTTCCCAAAGTGCTAGGATTACAGGCATGAGCCACTGTTCCCAGCCCTCACAGGGTTTTTTTCGGGGGTGATCAGAGGCAAAGCCGAAGCAAAAAGAACTGGATAGTGGAGTTGGGCATGGCTTCCAAATCTAGCTCTGAATCTTACTTGGTTATGGATTCGGGCAGGCCACAACCTCTTCAAGGCTTGGTTTCCTGATTTGTAAAGCTTTCCCAACCCTGCCACTTGTGGCTGGTGGGAGGGTCAGATTAAGTCATGTATTTCAGAGGCTTATTGTTTAAAACGGCAAGTCCCCAGCCCTCTGGGAATTTCCTGTTTAATATAGAGAAAGGTTGGGAAACAAGGCCAACTCACACGGAAAGTGAAATAGTGTTGTAAGCACCTCCAGATGGAGAAGGAGGAGGCTATTACTCCCACAGGTGCTGAAAGAGGAGGATCCCAACCATGAAGAAGGCTTCCAGAAGAGAAGCGGGTGCTAACTGGAAGGGTGGATCTACATGCGACTGGGAGAATGTGGGTGAAATCTTGAGTGGAAAAGGCCCAGCCCTGTGGGGGTGGTTGGGGGTCAGTGTGAGTACAGGACGTGGCACTAAGAAACGCCCGAAATGAGCCACACTGTTTCTCAGTGTCAGGACCCAAAGAACCACCACGAGGGTACTGGTCAAAATGCAGATTCCTGGGCCACACTCCTTTGATTTTGACCCAGAAATCTGCATTTTAACCAGCACACCTTTCTGGTGAGGTAAGGTGAAGTGTCTTGGGATATGCTGCTTGAGTGGTTCAAGGTTTGATGCCTTGAAGGACTAGGCGTAAGCCATGAGTTCTAGTCCTATGAGATCTTGAGCAAGTGACCTCATGTCCTAAGTCTTAGTTATGGTGTCTGTGAAGTGGGCCCTATTCGGGTCCCGTTGTGATCCTTATGGGCCGCTTCTTCCCCATTCTGTCCTCTCCTCTTCCTCTTTCTTTTCTTTTCCTTCTCCTTTTTTTTTTTTTTTTTT